ATCTCAGACAGCTTAACATTCCTGAGGGTGTTATGTTTACAGACTAGTAGGGGAAGATTATATAGCGAGAAAGAACAGACAAGACGGGCCGTATAATAATACGGGCAGTATAATATCCATCACATAGTAATCTCGTGTGTGGGAAATTAACGTCTCTTACCCCAACCCTGCAGGAGACGGGACCTCCATTTATTCGACCCTATCCGAGAAAACTAGATTATCTAATCATTTCTTGATGTTATAGAAAGGTAGCAAATTCTTCTCAATTATTTTAAGACACTGAGTGTTGGTCCGGCCGGGGCTCGAACCCTCGACCTCCCGCACAACAGTCCAGCGCTCAATCCATTGAGCTAACCGTGAGGCGGTTGTATTTCCGATTTGACAGCCCCTGTCAAATGAATAACTGCAAACGACTCCTGATTGGGCGAAATTAATTACCAATTAATTTCGTTTTTTAGACTTAGGACGTGGATCTATAGTCTATAGGTTCACGGAAAATTCACATAACAAAAGTATGAAGGATAAAATACTGCAGGAGATTAAAATGATTAATCAGCGGACACACCGGTATTGTAGAACAATTGATTGCTACAGTAATTGTCCTTTCGGTTATTTTGCTCTTTCCTGTTGACTCATCCGTCGTCACATTTCTAGATGATTATCCATCTTGATTGCTTGTCTCTTCTAAATTTAAAAGACCTCGTTAATCTGTGCATGTTTCCGTTATCAACCTAGAATCTAACCACAATGAAAATTTTAATCAGTTTTGTTACGTTGAAATCGCTGCAAATTCAATGATGAGTATTGACACAATTTACGAAACCTAAAATTCAATTTCTGCAAGCGACAGCTTTCAGGAGGGTCTAGAAATACCTCAAACGTGACATCATCGGTACATTAGGAACAAGGCCTGCATTTACAATTTAAGCTGCGATGTGACAACAAAGAAGAACACAAATATCCTCATTTGCTTATATTGCCGAAAAATAAATCACGAAAAATTAAGCAAAAGTGATATATTTGTACTTGAGTTTAATTCTTACACTTTGTCACTCAACAGATGCCTTCGGTGAAGATTCGCAACGATAAAGCGAATTTTCGTGAGCCGTAGGAACGTCTAGCTTAGTTAAGCTACCAAGGATAAGAGGCTTTTTAGGTCGTAGCGCACCAGTAATCTTGCAACGATTTCAGAATTTTAAGTAGGATAAACGAATGAGGAACACATCCATAGATTACCTTTCTTCAGGCTGATATCTTATCTAGACGATGATCAAAGAAACGAGAAATGTCATGTTGATACCTTGCGGAATTCGGGGTTTCCCCCTAATAATTGAGTCATCAAATGAAATAGCATTCCGCTAGAGAAGTTTTTGCTTGTGGAATTGTTTGCACAGCGAAAGCAGACTGTTTTCTCCCGAGAAATCAAGATCGTTCTAGAAGTCTTCTAAGGTATGGGTATTATTTTTTGAATAACTACTTTCCACCCTTTATTAGAATTGAACAGCACGTAACAGCAAAGCAATTCGCGTTGTGTTAGTCATTCCACAGTTCTTTCGTCAAACTAATTGCCGACTAAGCAACTAATGCCGACTAAGCGACTGTGGAAGTTATCCCTAGAAGGAATTTATTTTATTAAAGATTTGTAACGGAAATAAGAGATTTATTTTTTCTCGGTTGGATAGGAGAACGAATTCTGTCTCCCTTAGGTCAGCAGCGAAAAATGAATAGGCAATTTACAGCGGATTAACTGAAAACTAAAAATTATCACGCATTTGTGTATAAATTTACAATTGCGCCCTTATTATGGTCAGCACATCGTTCCAACTTTTAAATTTGTTAAAGATATAAAAGGTGAAACAGTTCTTTATTTTGGAGTAAATTTCCTCTTGTTATTTCACCAGTTCGATTATGAGGTGTAAGGTATTTAGAAGCTTTAAAATCCGTTCTGAAAAGTTTCAGAAATTCTCATTTATTAGTTTGACTACATCACTGCTTTTTATTCTCGGCAGGTTAGAGTACAAGAAACGTCATGTCTGTTCTACCTAACACAGATATATTTGTGGACGATTTTTATTCTTTCATGATGGTGGGTGGGCCAACAAATCTTAAGTCAAAGTATTTGCCTCTTGGAGAGCATTGATGACACTGCTCTCAATTGGAGTCCATTACGTTTGATGTAATTTCTGGTAGCAGGTGAATATTTCGTTTAAAAATGAACACTTATAAGCGTTTTGTTTTACAAAAGGACCATAGAAAGTATTTCTGAGAGCAACTGGTCCTAATTCAAGTACAGAAAAGGTGTTTCCTTTTGAAAAATGCAGACTGTTTCAAAACCCACAAACTTCCCGATCTGCTTAACATAACCTCTCTTAGGGAGCGAGTCAGGACTTTGTTGTGAAGGAAAGACTTCGATATCGTCTACCTCCATAGTGGATAGCAAATGGAGTGTCTGGTATTGGACAGAAGAGAACTGCCATTTGGACCCGGCAGATTTACATGTTTATTCGAAAACTTTTGAATAACATTTAGTGATAACAGTAACCTCACATAGAAGTTTCAAAAGCGCCCCAGGAAACATCACCAAGCTACGCCCCGGTACCCTGACAAAAACTAGAAAAGATCAATAACAGCTATACAGGGCTCCTACTTCCTAGTAATTTATTACTGGGAACTGAGGAACTTTTCAATTGCGTGTCGTGAAATCAAAAGCGGGATAATTACAGTGGCCAATCAAACAACTTTAATTTAAACGTTATAACGAGCTCGTGAGAACGTAAAGTCGTTAAACGCACGAGAACTGTTTCATGCCCTTGGAAAAATTCATTTTCTCAAGTCGCGATTGTTTTTAGTTTTCACATCTCCTTATGGGGTGGTGTGAATTTTCTCGACGGCACAGTAAATGTAACCAAGCGAAGTTTCTCCGACACTCGATTGAAAGTTAATTAATCAGACTAAGCCGAGTTTCAAACTTCGGCGAATCTCATACAGGATAACCTTAGAACATAATATAAAAAATATCCTTGTTAAAATAAATGAAGCACGCAGTGCTTACTTTCTTCTCAATGTGAGATAAATCACTGCCAACACTTTAGGCTGCAGTATTTTCTCAACTCATCATGGCACATCAAAAAGTGACATGAAGGAATAATACGAAGAAAGATAAATTCAGACAACCTTCCGTGTACTATACGACCGGCCTGTCTGAATTTTAAAATATTGTCTGAATTTTTAAAATATGATACTATCATATATTTCCTACAATAAAGAAGTTCTGACTTCAACATAAAACTTGGTCCTCAATTGCACTTACGAACGTTACCTAATTAACAAATCGACGGTGGCGTAACGTGGTCAACACTCATATAAACAACGTTATTTGTCATCACTGTGGACTCGATCGGTTGGGCCTCGTGAGTCCTCAACATTTCCATCACCGTGACTGTAATGTCAAACGTCTTTGTCGATAAGAGTACAGACCACGTAAAACCACTGTCGATTTGTTTTTTGTTTTTTACCACAAATCGACGTAGAAAAAACTGTGGTGAGAAATTATTTAACCATGGGAATACTTTTACCACTAAGAGAAAAGGTTAAAAAGCTTACAAAATCTTAGAAGAATGATATAAATTTTTCACCGAACTTCGTAATATAAATTTTACTACAAAAGTCTCACTACTTTTTGTAATTCTTAATTAAAAGATCCTCTAATCTGATCTTAAACCAACATCTATGAACCGGCGTGGATCCCTAGGGACTTTCTTAAAATGTGTTTAAACTACTTCGACTCTTCCAAATACACACAACCAGTTACATGTAATTTTCTTACCAATTATCAACTGTTACGGTTATACAAATTGTTCGTGGTGCATAAAGTTAATGAGACACTTAACAATCTCTTGGGTATTGTCAGTTCTTACCCTCCTCTGAACATCTGGTAATATCCTGTTTTTTTCTGAACCAATTTACAATTTCGTTTGCAACATCGTACCGTTCCAGCTCTCCGAGGACGTCTACGAACTTTTTCAGAGTCGCACATTTTGTGCTGCACAGGATTGGAATCAAAAGACGCATTGCGCTTCCCCCTGGCTTCTTGTTCTCATTGTCGAGAATCTGAATGTCTTTTGGGGAAATTTGAAACCGGTTTGCGACATGTTTCCAGTTCTTTTGAGGTGGCGTGGAATCGACATCCAGTGGCAGAATAAAATCGTCAATACCATACTGGCAGTCAGCGAGCTTGACGTCTAAGAAAAATCAAATAGACATAGTTAAAAGGGAAAAAAAATCATCATCATTATCATCACAACAATGCTCATTTCATGACACCTCCGATTGAAGCTGGCTGCTTATGCATAGGAGAAAAATGCATGGTCCCTACAGCTGGGTACTGGGAGCGTGGCGACAAAGGCTTCTTAATTTGCTTGTGGCATTGGTTCTACACACTTATGACATTAACATACCTTCAGGGATGTCATTCTTAAGAATACAATCTGTGTCGTGTCTTTGATCATCAAGCCGAGCTGCAATATTGAATTAAATTATGATGAATTCACCGGCTATTTAGCTTTTCCATTTGCAGGGGTTTACTACATGAATGGAAAGGTATGGTGAGGATAAGGGAGAGGATGCTTGTGGCTAAGGCTTGAAAATCCTAAAAAAATCACAACTTTTGATTGCATTAAACATTTCGGAGACTTAGCAAACTGAAAAAGAGAGTTTGGTTAAAAAATAACCAAAGTCATCGTTTTTGCTACATTAAAGCCACAATATGGTAGATTTTATCCAGGAAAGGGATGATGTATTACATTCCAAAGTTCTAAGAACAACATCTACACCACATGCACCATCAGTGTTATCACGTTCACCTGAAAGTACCCATTACTTACATTGCTAATTGTGTAATCTCTGAAAAGGAGTTGCATTTTGTATTTGTAAGCGAACTCGTGGAGCTCAACATTAAATTTACAGGCATCACTGCCGCAAATAGTAACCGCTAAGATCTGCTAGAGGTCAATTTGATACGTTATTGTTTATACTTATAAAAATGATCCATTAAATGTAACGCCGACTAAATAGCTACATGGAGTTGGTAAAACGTTCAGTAACCTTTGCTGAGAGTTTTTTACATTAACAAGGCTACAGAAAAGGGGAGACATTGTTCTATTTTGTTTTTTTTTTCTCGAGAATTCAGGATTGATATGAAGAAGGAAGGACTCTGACTCTTCACCTGTTGGATTTTGTCCAGTGATTGGCTTGGTTATCATGTCTTGTCTAACAGGAGACTGCTCCTGCTCATCTGCTCGATTATCTGTGAAAAAAGAGTAATGATGAACCATGTTAAGGTACCTTATTTCTTTGCAGCCCAGCTTTCAAACACTAGTTTAAAGAATGATACAGCCATGAGAGTAACTATAAATATGTCCTTAACATTTGTTGGCAGGGAAGCTAAAAGAAGAGTGGTCCCCGCAGGCGGGAACAGGGAGTGTGGCGATGAAGGCTTCTTAAGTTGCTTGTAACATTGGTATCACACTCTAATAACGGAGATTTTTTCATTGTCAAACACATACATACCTTCCAGGATGTAATTCTCAAGAACAAAATCTGTGTCGTCTCCTTGATCATCATGGAGAACTGTAATTAAATGAATGATGGTGAACTCACCGGCCATTTAGCTATTTCAGTTGCAGGGGGATTATTGCATAAATGGGGAGATAATGCATGTGGCGTTTAGCCATCCATTTCCGCCCCTATCAAAACTAACGGTAGGTATTAGGCATTTTGTTTAAGAACATGAACATTTTGAACCACCCACCCTCTAAGGGCTCACTTCCTTGACAAGCCATTAAGCTTTCAGCAGGGTCAGAGCTCGAGTTTTCTTGATAAGAGCTAGGGTTGACTTGAGTTTCTGAAATTCAAAAAGTGGAAAAAAAATATCACGAAATTGTCTTCAGAGTTAGCGTGACTCATACTTCTACCTTCTCTGGGGTCATTTTTGGCTGAGTGAAGGGGAACGGGATAAATGGGAGCGGGGGAAGGGATAGCGGGGAAAGGGGGATGGGATGGGATGGGATGTTGAACAGGTACAGTACTAAAAAGTACGAAAAAGAGATAAAAAGGGCGTATTTTTTCGCACAACATTTCAGTCGATACCACTGCCCAGGGGGCACCTACACAATCCTTCTTTTCTTTAACTAGGGATGCACTTCAACATCACGAGCCTTGTCCCTCTTCTGCCTTTTTTAAGGAGACCTGGCTATCAACATCTCTATACGGTACTACTAATCATACAATAAAAGTAATATTCCCGTTGACAAATGTGTAACCCTTTTGAAGAGCCAAAAAATTCTCAAAAGTTTGGAAAGTTGTGGTAGTACACTGGGAAGAACACGAAGATCGGGTTCACAGAGGAAAAAAGTAAAATACTCCTTGATGCAATGAAAAATGTACACAGAATTCAAGGTTTGCCAATTATCTGAGTAGCGGTAACATAATTTTGGGGCTGGAACTCCGATCACGTCTACAGCATAGCCTTTTTCCTAGTAAACGAATAGCAAGCTTCTTAATCTTACCTGGCAAAGGGCAGTTCGGTAAACCCTCAGTAACTGATAAGAGGTTACTTAATACTTCAGCAGCATCTGCAACAACAGGTTCAAAATCCCTTTAGAAACGATCTGTATTCCTTACGCTAGGTCAGTGGTGGCAGTGGACAGGCTATGTCCGACGAAGTCTCTTTTTGCCCACTCAATTTGGCGATCTTCTCCACTGACCCCTACACAGACAAAGAATGATTCCAACCTCATAGGGTCGTCCAAGTGAAAAGAAAGATAATAACACTTTTCTATTCGCAGAAGCTTTTCAACTCTTTGTATGTAAATTTTATCTTTCCACACCTTCATAATCAACACAGGGTGGGTTAACCATTGACGAATTAGGCTTTAATCATAATATCCGCCGTATTGCGAAGGAAAATTTTCCGAAGATGTCATAAAGGGACCAGTAATTGCTTATAATCAAAGGGGTCATCAAGCCAAGACCCCTGGTCGCTTAGGATATGTCGAACCCTTGACTCATGCCTTTTCTGTTATCATTTATTCTAGTTTAATCCTACCTTTCTGCTTTGGCCTTCTCTTCTTGGACATTCTGCACTTATTCCGGCAAACTATTGCAGTCGGTGTTAAGATGACGATCAACACTATCGTTACTAACATTGTTACTAATACTGTTGCAGCGGCTTCGTTTCTCCCTGGCAAAGAAACTTCCATATTTCCAGGTATCGAAGTTGAAGTAGTTCCACGATACAATGAAGATGGTTGTGGTATGACGCTTGGTGTGGATTCTACACTTGTGGAGGAATGGTTTTCTACTACCAGTGGAACTTCGATAGACCCTAGAGTTTCTGCAGACAAAACGCTCATTAGCTTTGAATGGGTTGACTCTATGTTTGGAATCGACGACACTGTACTTGTCGAGGTACTTGTCGGCCAGATGCTAGGACTAGGCTCCATTGACAAAGTTGTGGTTGTGACTGTTGCTGGCGTAGTTTCTCTGCAGCCAGTGATGCGGCCATCATAGAAATATCCTTTGGGACACTTATGTCCACATTTGCGATTACGTTCTGTGGTACATTCTTGAAGGACATTTAGTAGACCACACTCCTGGCAAGGTTTGCAGCTTTCCACCCCATGACTGTTAGAGTAGGTCTTAATATTTTCACAGGGCACACATCGTATCTTTGTATCTTCTAGTATCGATGAGCCGCATTGTATGTTCAGCCCGTGACCCTCAGGACACTCTGGGCACGGTCTGCATCCCGCGAATTTACCGCTGGGACTAAACTTCACAAAGTTTTGAGTCAATGAACATGGGACATTTGGGGATTGACCTTCTACCAGAAATACCATTATCCATGGTAGAAAAAGACTCTGAATGGTTTGCTGAAATGAAAAATGAAAATGGAGGCAATACAGTTGACCAGTCCAAATAATTTATGTAATTATCCGTAAACGGTGCATTTAAAACCCATGTGCGCCAGCGCTCCTCCCCTCCGGAGGACCGAAGGCTGGATCCGAGTAAACGGTAGGCTCGATTTCCGCCGCTCTCTCGAGTCCGGTCTTTTTCGTTCCTCCCCGAGAAGAGACTCTTTGGGGAGAGCGCGGGCTCCGGTTCCCGAACAGCGGCTGGCAATCGAGCCTAAGCAAACAGCGGAAATCATATATTACCTCAGGCTGATCTGTGATCGGAATGATATATCAACCACCCAACCAGAAACCCCTTATTTCAAACAAAAACAATCTATAGCAAACGCCAGGAGAAAAAATTGTCAACTTCCAATGGCATTCACCCCCACTATCGACTTAGAAACGGAACTTACACAAACACAACTGTCGAACAGCTAATTAGAACGCGGAGCTTTGATTAAGAACGCTAGCATGTAAATGCAAATGTACGAGACATACGTCGCCTAGAGAGAGAGGGAAACAATTATTCCGTAGATACACAGAAGACTTTGGTTGAAACGAGCGAAACACATGATAAAATTTATTAATCCTGAAAATAGGCATGTAGTGAACTTCAAAATCATCATTTATGCTGGAGAGAAATGTTCACATGGTAATTTTCATTCAAATAAGCATATACGTTCAACGCAGTGGAGCGAGATAAAAAACGAGATAATAGTTTTTTTTCAGATCTAAATAAAAAATTCAATGTCGTTGACGGGACTGTAAGGCACGCAGAACTATTGTCGTACTATAACTTCTAAAAGTTTATTTACAACAAAACTTATACTGTAGATTTCACAGGGGCAATACATTTGCAAGAAAACAATGTGCTAACTCAGCGCTATTTTAAAGTGACTGAAGAGAGCATGAAATCTTCTCTAATTTACCGTGATATATAGTTTAGAGAAAATGAAGGGGCCACAAACAGTACAAGGGACTCACCATTTTTGATATCAGCGAGAAACTCCTTTTATAAAAGCTTGCGGCGTGATATCTGTTTCTGTAAACAAGAAACACACTTAAATATCAACCGTGATATGTATTGCCGGGCAAATTTGGTTCAGTATTCGCGTATCTTAAAACTTTCAAAGCTCTTGAAGGCCGCATCATAATTAGCGATTAAACCGCAGACGACGTAACATATCATCGTTTTCAAATTAGAACATACTCATGCTGGTTTGGCGCTGTCTGATACGCTACAGGGTGATCCTTGATTCTTGTAGTGTAGTCGCTGTATGAGCAATAAATAAATCGCTTTTTAACCAAATTAATCACAGCTGTTCTCCGCTTGAGATATCTTGCCTGCTAAGCACTGAATGGCACGGGCGTATAGTGAGGTGCCTACGTAGCATTGACAGATGAAAATAAGGCGAATTTTTTTTATTTTAAATGATGAAGCAATGTGATATGACCAGATGACAAGGGCCAGATTAATCAGTCACGAGATCATCTACGTAGGTTGCCCGATGTACAAAAACTTCTCATGGAGAAAGGAAGCGTACAACTCAGCAAACACAACTACGATCTAAATACTTATTTTCGTTAAAAATCAGATAATTACCAAAGTTACATGTCGGCAGATCTAGAGGGAGTGCTGATGACATCAAGTTTCGTTCTGACATTACGTGCCATGTTCTCAACGGTGGAGAAAAAGTTACATAAAAATATTGCCTTTACCTGAGAAAGTTTTAGGAAGAGCTTGATTGCTCGGGAGAAAGCGGTCTACCGTCAGTGTGCAAACAAAGTTTAGGAACAATGTGTCCTCGAAATGCTCACTTACTGAATGACCGTCTAGCTTGTAAAGCTACCTTTTGTTGTATACAAACTACAAACAAAAGTGCTTACTTCTTTGATGACCTAACATCAAAAAAATTCGCATATCAATCAGCTTTTTTCTTGATTGACCATCTAACATAGAAATTTGACCATTTTCATGATAATTTCTGACCCCCAAATTTTTTTTCAGCAATGATCAGCTTTTACTATTTTGAAGTAGCTGTGAGATCACTTATGCGTTTAAACTTTGTTCATGCTATTTTGAGCTTGTTCACTCCTTGATCTGAACGGTTTGAACGTGATTATAAAACAACATTATCTGTACCTGCGAGGGTTTCCTTTTCGATCTTAATTGCTCGAGAGACGGCTCCTAAATATTATTTCATCTGACATGTTTGATGACCTCAAATTTCTGGGAACACACCTATTTCGAAGAGTATAAATTATTTTCCGACTTGAGTTTCTTGGTCTCCCATTTCTCGAACAATCACCTCTCACCGACTTCGGGCCTGATTACATGAGCCGGGCTGGCCCGGTTAGCCGGGCTGATTTCTTTTGTTTTGGTGTTCGCCAAAGCGTGAAAACAAAAGAAATCAGCCCGGCTCATGTAATCAGGCCCTTCCTGTTATAACTAGCTCCGTGGGAATTTAACAACAGAGGGGATTAACTTTGATCCTTATCTTCTTTTTCGATTCAACCGTCTAACAAAAGGTCCTAAGGTGATTTAATCATTCACTGTAAAACATTTGCAAGAACAAATTGCAAACCCTGTTTCTGTTTCATCAGTGTTCTCATGCTGTCATTATCAGCTTAAGGGTGAGATACTTCGGTGAAATTTCTAGCCCCTAATTAAGATCAGTTTGACGTTGTTATCTGTGCTAGTGAACTCTACGCTTGAATACCTGCATATCAAACATTCTCACGCAGCAAAGGAATAAGCTACTTACCGGCTGCACCCTTAAGGAAGTTGTAATGTTATTAAAGCAATACTGATACGAGAAACTTCCATAAAATGAAAAGAAAGAAGAGATAACCTATGACACGAATATTCATACTGTCTGAGTCGAAACTAGACGATCAAAACTAACCGCTTCAAGTTTTTCGCAGCATCGCTCAGGGCATCTATAGGCTAGAAGTAAATGACAATAATTAATTACGGGTTTGGGAATTCAGCAATGAATTATAGTCTTGAGTGAATTCAGCTAATTCAACAATCTTGCATAGCCTTGAGCGAGTTTATCAAAAAGTGAATAAGTGCGTATTTTAACGAATTTTCAAACTTTTTTAATTTCAGCCGGAAAGAAAATCGCTGGAACTTTAAAAGATTTTTTTTGAAACTAGTTCACAGAAAGGGATGTTTTGGCAAAACAAAAAAAATTCGATTTTTCGTCACTGATTTTCGATTCTCGAAATATTCTGGCGGCCTCTCTTAAATACGTATGGAGCATTTTGATTGGTTGATTTTAATTGTTGGCCCTTTGACTTCCCGAGTCGTTTAATAATTCACAGTATGCACCATTCACAAACAATATCGCCTTACAAACAGAACTTACACAAACTCAACTGTCAAACAGCTAAAACGCGGAGATTTGATTAAGAAAACTAGCATGTAAATGCAAATGTACGAGACATACGTCGCTGTAGAGAGAGAGAGGAAAACAATTATTCCGTAGATAAACAGAAGACTGGTTGAAACGAACGAAACCCACGATAACTAATCACATGGTAATTTGCGTTCATTTACGTTCTAAGCAGTGGAGCGAGATAAACAGCGTGATAGTAGATTTTTTTTTCAGATCTATATAAACACGTCAAAGTTGTCCACGAGACTATAAGGCACGCAGAACTATTCTCTTACTACTAAAAAGTTTACTTACGACGAAACTTACACTATAGATTTCATTGAAGTAATACATTTGCGAAAAAAATCAATGTGTTAACTCAGCGTGATTTTAAAATAATGGAACATAATATGAAATCCTTCTCTAATTTACACTAGTATACTGTTAAAAGAAAATGAAGGGTGTAAGGGACACTCACCATTTTCGATAGCAACGAGAAACTCCTTTTAAAAGTGCTGGCAGCGTGATACATATTAGTTTCTGTAAACAAGAAACAGACTTTAATATCAATCGTGATATGTATTTCCGGGCAAATTTGGCTCAGTATTCGCGTATCCTAACTTAAAACTTTCAAAGCTCTTGAAGGCCACATCATGATCAACGATCAAACCACAGGTGATGTAACATATCATCGCTTTCAAAATATAACATACTCATACCAGTTTGACGCTGTCTGTTGCGCTAGAGGGTGATTCTTGATTCTTGTAGTGTAGTCACCGTATGAGCAACAAATAAATAGGTTTTAACCAAATTAATCACAGCAGTCCTCCCCTTGAGATATTTTGCCACCTTATCAATGGCACGGGCGAACAATTAATCGTAATATTACTTGCTTACGCAGCACTGACAGATGGAAATAAAGCGAATTTTTTATTTTAAATAATGACGCAATGTGTCATGACAGGGGCTCCGGAAGCCAGTCATGTGATCGTTTACGAACAAAAGCAATTTTAAAAAACCACAATTTATGTAAATACTTATTTCCGTTAAAAATCACGTCCAAACAAGTTTCCTTGTGCAGATAATTCTCGAAGTTAGATGTCGACAGAGGGAATGCTAATGACAGTAAGGTTTCGTGATGCTATTGCGTGCCTTGTTCATGCTATTTCGAGGTGGTTCACCCCTTGATCAGGACGGTTTGACAATAATTATAAAACATAATTATCTACACCTGAGAGGGTTTCCTTTTCGATCTTAATTTCTCGAGATACAGCTCCCGAACACTATTTCATCTGACATGTTCGAATTCGATGACCTAGAATTTCGAGGAAAATACTTATTTCGAAGGGTATAAATTATTTTCCGGCTTGAGTTATTAGGTCTCCCAATTTTTGCGGAACGATCACCTGAATCGGTAATTTACCCGGTCTTTGGGCTCAAAGCCAGGGATGATTCTACCCTTCCTCTTCCCGATCTAGGAAGATCGAAGGGCCTCTGCTCGATCGCAGGGTAGGGGTGATTCATGCAAGCGTTGCACATGGAATCTCAATTAGTTTGAAATCCGTTCAAGATCTTCTTTGCATTTGGTTGGACTGCTCAATTTGCGAGTTCGATTTCTATGATAAAGTCAGCCAACTTTTCAAATGGTCTACAAACAAGACATTGTTGGTGTTGGCAAAGATCTCGGTCCGTCATTTCTAGAATCTTCATGAAAAGGAGCATTAGGGTGAAACAGTTTAAGCTGAACTGGCGTTTTTTACGCTCCACTTCTCCAATATGCGGCTCCGAGTTTTTTCCTTATTTTCGTTGAACTCCGGAAACACCGCTAACAATGGGGTTCAAATTCCACTTACAGTCACAGTAAAAAAGAAAGCCCGAACGGTAAACAGTAAACAGTGGGGTTCAAATTCCACTTACAGTCACAGTAAAAAGAAAGCCCAAACGGCAAACAGTAAAAAGAAACCCAAACGGTGTAATATATATAGTTCTAGCCATCGCAATATTAACACCTTGCTTAAAGTGATGCTTCAATCACCGTAGAATCAGGGATGACATTTGCATAAGGAGGGGGGAGGGGGCAGGCTTTTTTTTAGTTTATTTTAATTTCTTTTGTCAAAATTTCATTTTCCAAACGTTTAAATCGAATTTTTTCAATGCAGGCTCATTTTTGAGAAAAAAATTAAAAATGAAAACTGGCAAGGGTTCGTGGTTTGTCCAACCTTCAATGATTAGTGCAGAACGTGCTTTCCCCATTGGTTGAAGCCATATCGCCATACCGGACAACTAAGATGGCGTCTTGAGGTCCCTTTACAGTAACTTAGGAAAGCGAAGCGCCACCGTTTCTTGCTAAGAACGTCAAGGTTGTACAATGTTATTGGCTGGCGGCTCACAGAATGAGCTCGGAGTCGACTAGCCTGCAGAGCAGGTGTGATTGCTCAGTTTTATCTTGGAAAAAATTATTGTTTTGCAGCAGCGGAGGGCTGGGGAGAGAAAGAAATCTGTCCCAAGGGGCTAAGCAAAGGTCAAACGAGGAGAGGGGAGGGGATGGGGCAATGGATGCACTACTATATTATCATTTGCCTTTCCTCGGCTCCTCCCCCCACCGTCCACTCTAACTCCAAATCAAACGAACGATTGAGTTAACTCGCCCTAATAAGACACCTGCAAGGTAGGTGTCGGACTATTTTTCTGAGAGGCGTGATATGCACGAAAACCCAGAATACGATATTGAAAGATACCTCCTATTCTGAGAACCAATAGAACTGACACAATTCCATGAAATTTGGTCCAAACGTATAGCGAAAGATACAAAAGCGTGTAGGCTTCTCATTCCTTAATGTTGGTCAAATGCTTTACTTTTACTGGCTTCGGAACGCAACATGTTTCTGGATCTTGACAAGTCTTCTAGCTGCTAAAAAATTTCCGCCTCTGCGCATGCCGTTAATTCCTTCCGTAGTTTCTTGTATCGACTTCCTGTTATAACTAGCTCCGTGGGAATTTAACAACAGTGAATTAACTTTGATCCACATCTTCGTTTTTGATTCAACCGTCTAACAAAAGGTTCCGAGGTGATTTATTCATTCACTGTAAATCATTTGGACGAGCAAATCGCAAACCCTGTTTCTGTTTCATAAGTGTTCTCATGCTGTTATTATCAGCTTAAGGGTGAGATATTTCAGTGAAATTGCTAGCCCATAAGATAGTTTGACGTTGTTCTCTGTGCTGGTGAACTCTACGCTTGAATACCTGCATATCAAACATTCTCTCGCAGTAAAGGAATAAGCTACTTACCGGCTGCACCCTTAAGGAAGTAATAATGTTATTAAAGCAATACTGATACGAGAAACTTCCAAAAAAATTAAAAAAGATAAGAGATAGCCTATGACACGAATATTCATACTGTCTGAGTCGAAATTAGACGATCAAAACTAACAGCTTCAAGTTCTTCGCCGCATCGCACAGGGCATCTATAGGCCGCTAGAAAAAGGCTAGAAGTAAATGGCAATAGTTACGGTTTTGGGAATTCAGCAATCTTTTATAGCCTTGAGCGAGTTTAAACAATCCAAAAAGTGAATAAGTGCGTGGGCGAGATACGTCTAGAAATTACGTATGTTCAAAACAAGATCATTTGATCAGGGATAAAATTATACTGAAAGCGCGATGAAACAAAGAAAATTCCAGACGCCTATGGCTAGGTTAAAATTATGCAATGCTCTTGGCTTCTGAAGCACACAGACTTTGTTAAGCCGTATATTTTGGGAAAAAACCATCCCCGTGCACATTATGCCAGAGACAAGGAAGAAAATACAAGTCCAGGTTATATCGTTTCGAGTTTATGTAAGTTTATGTAACGCTATCGCGCTCCCATACCACTCAAAAGCGTGGGCCATATTAGGGAAATATGATGCGCCCGATTAGTTTCGGGATTTTCCCCCTCCAGTCCGTACACGTCATCAGACGAAATAGCATTTGGTAGTATTGAACTTTGCTGGCAAGCTGAAGCTGCTTTGATTTCTCGCGAGAAATCAAGATCTTGGAGAAAAGTCTCTCGGGTATGGCTTATTTCGTATTCATAGATATTTTCTGCCTTCTAGATTATAGAGAACAAGCTCGTAATAGCATGACGGAAGCAGGCTGTATTGGTCACCCTGCGTTTCTTCTATCGAATGATGCTGGGTAAGCAACTTTGGGAGTTATCCCACAACGAAACTTGTTTTACGTGATTTACAGCGGAAATACGTCTTCAGAATTCTAAAAACTTCAACTCAGAACCCAAAAGGGCAAACGAAACGAAAGTCTTTAATCGGTTTCACAGAACTTTTCAGAAGTTTTTGTACTTTAAATTATGCATACAGACTAGACGTTATAATAATTTTTTCTTATCCAATAAGTAGGACAATGAGTTATTTCTCTCGTAAAGCAGCCAAAAAAAATTACCGTCTTGTCGTTGGGGAATGACAGAAATCTAAAGTTAAGACTGTAAAGCAGCAAATGAGTGTAATTTTTTGTATATGGCGGCTCGCATCGGGACAAAC